CGGAAAAGCGGCAACAATAAACTTCACATCTCCTTTTTAGAAGAGGATTTTATCGACAAAAATGTCTTTTCTTTTCTTTTCGAATAACCTCTTTTTTAATTTATATGGACCCGTTTGTTATATCCAGAGCAACCTCCGTATCACAATCGAGGTCGCCGCTTTTGATAAAACGTAATAAATATACAAAAGAATAAGAAGTAAATATTAAACATTAGAAATTATAAATAATTAAACGTAGCAAATAAAAAATAATAAAATGTAAGATATAATATAGGAATATATTCCTACATTTTTACATATATCCTAACATTTACTATTTATTACAAGAATATTTCTATATTTATATATCCTAATATTTAATTCTATTTATTTTTATTCTTAATACGTGCTCTATTGTGCGTAGGGCCTAAAGTTTACATACATACATCCCATACATACGCCATTTATACAATCGTTTTCCCGTTCTCAAATCTCCATGGTCTACGGCATGATAAACACGGGGTGACCGGGGAGACACCTGTGATCGCGGCGAGGCGCGAGCGCGAGGTGCCCGCAAACGTGGAAGGGATAACATGGCTACCGCCTGGTGACGTTCCGCTCGGCCGTCGTGGGTATTACTGGGTATATCAGATGCTCCGGGAAACATCTGGTGAACGTTCTCGGCGACGTGCTGCAGATAGCGATCCCGTCGAGAGGAGTACCGCGCGTCGAGGGTGACGATCGTATAACGCGAGATAGGCAGTGACAACGCAAACATGATGAACATGTGGAAAGTGCGGGAGCTGATGGACAAGGCGTAAGTCCCGTTTAGCCGATTCCTCGGCGCGAGCTCGCGCCTCTAACCTCGCTCTCTCTCCGTTTCCCCGGGCGCCGCGCCGCGCCGTTCCGCGCTGCGTGTTTCCCGGTCGGGCTTCTTCCGTTCCTCCCCCTTTCCCTTCCCCCCCCTCTCCCGCGCCGATAGTGCGAAATCGTGGAAAAATGTTATACGCGACATGCTCGATTAGAATTTATTTCGAGTACGTGTCTCGCGCGCGCGATTCTCCGTCGATCCTCGCATCGAAGAAGGAGAGGGAATACGAGGAAAACGGAAAAATCCTCGGTTCGGCCGATCGCACGTTCGGCGCGAGAGAGGATGCGGTCGCCCGCGACAGGTCGGTCGGCGAGACGGAGAGAGCGGCGCGGTCGGGAGAGGAGGGAGAGAGAGAGAACTCGTAAAACTGGAACGACGTGGGTAATTTTATGACGCGACCTTGAGATTCGATAGTGCGGCGTGCGATAAACGATGCGAAAACAATCGTGGAATTGATGACGGATGGCGCGGGTCCCCCCTCTTCCCTACCCCCTTCCTCCTCCTCCTCCTCCTCCTCCCTTCCCGCCAGCGACCAGCCGCAGGTGCGCGCGTATTTATTTTGTAAGCGCTTTTTCCTAAACGCTTACAAAACAAGTGCTCCGTTGCGCTTACAAAAACGTTACGAAATGCGGCTCCTCCCAGACTTTTTCGGGGGCCCCCCGTCCTCCGTCTTCCGAATTATCCATCTCCGGACTCGTGTCGTCAGTTTAATTCGGAATCGACATTCGGAGCGATTCGTCGAGAATCTGGGAATTAACGTAGAGAATCGTGGGAGGAAGTGTGTATTTTAAAAATTCGCGCCTATATCTTCTCGCCGAGTTTTTTCCCCGACGTCGAGAGCTCGAAAGCAAAATTCTCAATTCGTTTAATTAGCCCATTTCAGTTCGCTTCACCTCCTAGGAATTATGTCCTCCTGATTAAATTTTAAGAATCCTTTTTTTCTTTTTTTTTTCCCCCCCAATTGAAAGGTAGTATGTCAACAGACATTTTTCGCAATCTCTTACTTAATAATCACACTCGTGATTGGTAAAGTAAGCTCGTTTAATGCCTCGGGCACGCAGGGGAGACACGACGGAGAAGTTTATTCACGCGATATGACATTCCGATTCTTATCGGTCGCGCTCGAATACTCGTCTAGAATTACGAAAGTCTTCGGCTCGAGTACTCTTTCGTTCTTCGTATTAGCTTTTACCGATTTACCAGCTTCTGCATGTTTGTAGATAAAAATGGTTTGATAAATCTGTCGTTTAGTCTAGATACAGAAATTATCATTTATCACACATATACATTTTGAACGGTCACTCTATGATTTGTTTGAATAGAGGTATTATCGCCAATGAAACAATACGATTTTTCTATATAAGTTAACAGAAATTTTAAATTTATCCCTACAAAATGTTGCCTCTATTTTGTCTTTTAATGCAAAAGTAAAACTGAAAAATTCTGTATTTTTATTTGTTGAAAATGATATTAACTGAAAATAACCGAATAAATCTATCTAAAATTTTAAATACTAGATGCATATTCTCCTTCAAGTAATCAGTAATATCTTTGAAACAGTACTAAGCTAATCAAATTATTGAGTTTTTTATTTAATAATTGCATCCTTCGGATAAACTCTTAATATCTTTTTTGGAAAGTCGAAAGATACCTCGAAAGGTATTAACAAGTTAATGCATTTTAACGTGTCTGTTCCTAATTGATAAATATGATTAAGTAAATACGCAGTTTAAATGGTCATTCTAATGATTCACTTAAATGGAAATATTAAGAATAACACGATTTATCTATATAAATTAACAAAAATGGTTAATTTATTTTTACGAAATTTTATTTGTCTTTGTATATTTTGTCTTGTAGTACGAGCTGAATTTCTATTTATATCTATTCGTTGAAAACGATACTAACTGAACGAGTCTATATCTAAAATTATAAACACTAAATGCATATTCTCTCTCAAAGTAATCAGTAAATGCTTTGAAACAATAATGAGCTAATAATTGTTGATTTTTTTTATTTAATAATTAAATCCTCCGAACTATTAATATGTTTTTTGGAAAATCAAAAGATATAGGTATTGATAAATTAATCCATTTTAACGTGTCTATTTAACTTGTTTTTAATCGAATATAATTAAATGCGCGATTAATAAGAAATACCTGTATTAAAAGTTAATACGGACATTTTTCACAATCACGTGCTTAATCATACTCGTAAAGGATGCGTGGCCAGGTAACTCGGGTTGCAGCGAATTAATAATCTTGATAAATTAATTAAGTACGCGAGTTACGTTCGTAAACTGATCTTGGTAAATTAATCTCGGGTCAGGTTCCGATATAGTAAGACCGTCTGAGATACCTCGTAAACCTATAATGGCTTTAAACTGTAATCATTTACGTAATTCACGGCTCTATGCATTTTTGTAGTCGCATGAATGCGCTTTTCACTTACGCTAATGTGTTTGCGGACCAAATACGGCAAAAAAAGAAGATAAAAGAGGAAGAGAGTGAGAGAGAGAGACATCGTTGTGTTATATCTATACTTAATTATTTTTTATAAATAGTGTAATAATAGAAGGATTATTGTAAGTAACCCTTTGCGTAATCCAGCTGTAAAAGCTATCTGTGGGCGAAGATATAAACAGTATCGTATGCTACGTACGTTACACGTAAGACCGCAACACTTACCACGCGATGGGTATTACACGTTTTATCGGGCGTTGTTTTTTTTGGGGGGGGGGGGGGGCGGAAATAATTACGTGATACGACGAGTGTAATGCGACATTATTGCACGTCTAATTTAATAATGGATTATTCGTAATTTGTAGTATTTTGCGTACGTCGCAGATTTGTACGTGTGAAAATTCATTATGATATTGCATTTGTAGGACGAATGTCGTGATGAATTATACGGAAACGGAGGCCAAAGTTCGGGAGGCAACTAACGACGACGCGTGGGGTCCCACAGGTACGATCCGCGCTTCCGACAATAGCACTTTACCATTATGCACTTTACGTGGAATACCTGGTGAATTAATTATACGGAATGCGCATTTTACTTTTTAAGGGGCAATGATGCAAGAACTGGCTCAGGCCACATTCACGTACGAGCAATTTCCAGAGGTAATGTCCATGCTCTGGAAAAGGATGTTGCAAGAGAATAAACGAAATTGGCGACGAACGTACAAGGTACGCGATCGTTTTTCCTCGCAATTATTACATCGCATTCGAGGAGAAACAATAAACCTTATTGTATGGAAGATATCGATGGAGAAGGATCATTATCATATTACGAAGTAGTAAACAAAATGCACATGAATATAAAAACATTTCATTCTCCATTCGTACTTTATTAGCTTTTCATTAATCTCTATTTTTTTCTTCACAGTCATTGCTCCTCCTTAATTACTTAGTTCGTAACGGCTCGGAACGGGTCGTCACATCGTCACGCGAGCACATCTACGACCTCAGGTCTTTAGAAAATTACACCTATATCGACGAGTTCGGGAAAGATCAAGGAATAAACATTAGACACAAAGTTAGGGAATTAATCGACTTCATCCAGGACGACGATAAACTCAGGGATGAAAGGAAGAAGGCTAAGAAGAATAAAGACAAGTATGTTGGCTTATCGAGCGAAGCGATGGGAATGAGGTTTGGCGGTGGGGACAGATGGATGGACAGTCCCAAGTGGAATAAATCTGGTGCAGAGACGTATAACGACTGGGATTCCAATCGTGGAAAAGGATTTGAGGATGCAAATAACAGGTATATGTTATTCTGATATTTGCGTTTCTGATTATTGTACGTGAACGTTTAAAAAGAAACATGTAGCTCAATCAAAGTTTTTTCTTTACATAACTTTTATATTTTTATATTACAGCGATGATGGCGAAAGAGAAGACTCGGACAATGAAACTAGCCCAAAGAAAGGTGGAAGAGAGTATAGAGATACGTTGGAAAATATAAATCAAATTGGTAAAACTGCTCAAACATCAATACCTTCTACAAATGCATCTCCGGCACGGACGGCAAGGACTATCAAGAAAGTAGATCTTGGAGCGGCAGCAAATTATGGAAAAGAGCAATCTAATGTAAGTTTAAGGAATTAATTTTATTTTGTCGATAAATCTTTTGTATTTAATATGAGGTATAATGCGTCACAAAATTATATTCACACGTGTTATAGATATAACTATAAATTAATTAGAATGTATCTTTTTCTGTTTGTAGAATAGCACACCAGTACAACAAAAAAATAGTTTATCATCGCCGAAAAATCAACAGAAGACCAAAAATGACATATTAAACGACATTTTTGAATCGCAGAGTGATAATAGTAGACTAGACGATGACGATTTTAATCCCCGAGCGAATACTCAATCGCTTGCTCAACCGCCGCAAAATGCGAATGCAGATTTTGGCGATTTTACTAGCGCGTTTAATAATCCCGCGACGGTTAAGACGAAAGACAGCAACGACGAGTTTGCCGATTTTACGTCTGCCTTTAATAATGTCGCTGTATCTAATCCTCCAAGCCAGCCGCAGTCGCAAATCAATCTGATGGGCGTAGCAATACCGACTGTGAATAATCCAGCAGCAAATAATATGAATAATAGTAACGCAATGTACGCCAATACAATGCAAACGGCAGGCACAACAGCGTTCACCGAAACCCCCGTTATTCAAAAGACGTCTAACGATCTATTTGATTCTTTATCATCGCAAGGTCCCAATAATCAAGTCACAAATAATAATACAGGTAGAGGATTGTACATTAGTTATGTAGATTGTTGAAATAAAATCGCACAGGAACTTCGAAGTTTAATTTAATAAATAGCAATTTTTTGATGTAGAATTTTTACTTAAAATTGAAAATTCCATAAAATTGTATTAAAATAAAAATAATTTTGTATTTTTTTTTTAGTGACATCAAATACGGATCTTTTGTCGGACTTGGACAGTTTGAATGCCCCAGCCATGAGGCCTGACGGGCGAATAAACAGCTCTAATAATTCGAACATTTTTATGGGGATGAACAACGCACCTACCAGTACCGTCAATTACGCAGGTGAGTATGTACGCGGTTAAGAAACAATAATTCGACTGATTTCTTTAATTACACGATTAGCAAAACTTTTATTAGCAGTATTTCCTTGCAACTATAAATTACATGTAACTCGTACATACATGATATTTATGTAACATGATGCATGATACGTAATATATCGTACAGATCCCAAGATTAAACAATATTGGGATATTTCTGAGCTACTCTAACATTATTAATCATATATTAGTTATAATAAACGTAGAGTTTCTAATCGTTGTTGCATGCGTTTCCGTGAAAGAAATCTGTGCGTGAAGTATATATCCTCGGAGTTTAAAGCTAATGTAAGTCCCCCAAGATAGTCTTTCCTTGCAGCCTGTAAATACGAAGAGAACGTCGCGTCGATCGAGAATCTCTCCAATAATGCCGCCAATCTATTATTGGAAGTATTGTGCACTATATGCGATATTAAAAGTTGCGCTGATTTGGAAAGAATAAGATCGTCCGTTTCGAACTACATCAGATTTTTACCGGGGCCTGTTACACCTCAAAAGTACAGTGGTCTCGATTGCGATGCGAAAGTGGATGCCATATTGTACGGAAGAATTTTGGAGGAAATAATTGGTAAATTCGATCGTGATTGGCCGCTAAATGAGGATGGCCTGGATCCCTTGATCGAAAAATTGATAATCGTCGATGGTGCAACGGTCTTCATGTTATCGGAAGCTTTAAGAGCTTTAACTAACGCATTAAATGAGTCTAAGGATGAGAAGAAAACTCATGTTATTTCAACGTTATTGAGTAGCCTATTAAAGAGTGACATGATATTTTCGGGGATATTGGACGCGTGTAGAGCGCGTTCTCATATGCAGGAGGAAGAACTCGATCAGACTTGGCGAAGTACGACACAAATGTTGATCTCCTTGCCCAGTCGTGTATCAAATAAACTGCAGTTCGACACGCCTAAATCTTACACGCCGCAGGTTTACGTGAAAACGCTCTGTTTTCACATATCTTGCGCGATATCGTTTATCAATGAGTTATGCAAATATGATATTAAGCCGAAAACATCCGCACTCTCATTTTTACTCAGCAAGGTCGTAATTAACTTGAAGCCGTGTGATTTTACGTGTTTCGCCGATATTTTAGAAGAGTGGTGTCTCGAAAGCAAAAAGAATGAACTAGTCGAAGATATATTTCGCGGATTGGATTCGGTCGCCATTGAATACGTAGCTGTTCTGTTCTTAAAGCGTTGCGATTCTGAACTCGGTGTGCGTCCTATTTTCGGAAATTTATTGACAGAACCGAATTGGAGATATATTTTAACAACTAAAATTCCTTTAATGCGTTATTACGAGGACGAAAAGCTGGTCGTGAACTTGATTTCCTATTTGTCATGTTTCTCGAACGAAAATAATAATCCTTTATCAGAATTACTAATAAAGCTTTTAGAAATTTGGAGGGATAAAAGTATTTTGAATCATGCGTCTTTAGAACAGCACAAATACATTACGAAGCTGATTATTCTGTGTGTAAAAAGTTGTAAAGATCTTTTAAGTAATACCGAAAGAGATCAGTGCCAGAAACTGTTGCTTTCCGGAGTATCTGTCCATCTCGAGTGCACAAATATAACTTTAAGAGCGATGGGCATGATGGTTGCCGAGATTTGCACGAATTCTTTGTGTAATATTGATAAAGCACCGAAATTAAAGTTTGACTACGATAACATGCCTGCGCAAGTGTTAGAATTGCTTCAATATCTGAAGAATCTGAATACGTCTGCAACGGCTGTAAATGTGAAAGAACAATACGAGCGAAGCGGCGACTTAATAACCGGAAATATTGTCTTCGATTCTCTAAGTAGCAGAAAGATCTACGAATTGGGCGTGGACTGCGGTATTTTACCCGGCGTTGAAAATCTGTCGAACGAGAGAACTGAAGAGAGCACACACTTGTCGAAAAATGGCGCGATAAGAAATGATCTAACGAAGAAGGATGAAATGAAGCAACAGGCGAAGCCAAAATGCAACGACGGTTCAGATCTAGACAGCGACGATGACTTGGTTCCTTACGATATGAACGATGACAAACCGTCCAGTAAGACACGCCCGACGTACCTGCGAGACTTGCGCGATAATTTAACGGATGAACGTACTTTCTCCAATCCCGAAATTTTCTCCGAATCCATGCTGGTCTGCGAAGAACTAATATTAACACAACTGCCGAACGACGATGTGTCCTTCGCGTTAGAACTTCTGCGGCTTCTCGTCACGCTAAAGCAACATTCTTATATGGAGAACTTTGAACTGGTGATTTTCAAATGTTGCGTAGCGATTGTAACTGTGCGCCCGAAGGAATGCGCCGAATTTCTCTGTAAAGAGTTTTACGAGGACGTTGGCAGGTATTCACTGAGTCATCGCTTATTGTTCCTGGATATATTAGCCGAGTCTGCCAAGCAGTTATCAAAAATCGATGTCGATGACGCGGATAGCGCCGACGTTACCGTAGATACGGCGATTAAGAAGAAACGAATTCCAAGCCGAATATCACTTTTTATCGATACGCAAGAAAATAAAAAACAACAAGTGTGGTCGAACGAGGACTTCGACATTGATTTACAAGCGTCGGAAAATCAATCTGCGGATTGGCAAGAAATTGTCGATAAAAGAATCGCGTCGCGTACGAGACGATTTGCGCATAATTCCAAGTCTCCCAAGTTACGCATTAATCACTTTGGAAATGTAGCGTCTTCATTTTTCTATCCGCTTTTGCACGGCTTTGGCCGTCGAGATGTTCTCAAGCTGAGCGGCTTGAAAATTTACGCGGATCAGGAAAATATCTTATTGCTACGTTTCCTGAAAACACTGTCTGCCATAATGTTAGCGGCGCAAAATTGTCCGCTGGCATCGAAGATGGGCAAAGAAATATTGGAGCTTTTGTGGACGGTGAGGAATCACGATGAAGCGACAGTGAGATTAGCCGTTACGGAAAATATCGGATCCGTACTTATTGCGGTGCCGAAAGATGCCATCATCGACGAATTGTCTGAGCCTTTGATGGAAATAAGAGAATGGCTTCTGTTGTCGCAAAATGTCGTCAATGGCGAACACGACGCAAATTGCAGGGCTTTAAACGCGAAAGTGCTATCCTTCGTCAATTTGATTGTAACCTCCGCTTTTAATTCTGTGTAGCTTAATCGAGAGACTTTCAATTTTTACAATATTATTGGAAAGAACTTTTTATTCTTACAGTATTGTAATCATTTATGTGAAGATTATGTATGTACATTTTCTCGTAGAACATATTTTGTTGAGTTAATTTTTCTATTTGCGAAAATTATAAACTACAAAATGGATTATGTAATATAATTTATATACAAAGAAGTTTTGTTATTGTAATTTTTAATTGATGTTTAAACCATACAGAATTCGTACATTAGCAATAGCAATATGTTAATTAGCAATAACGATCTTGCTAACGACGTTGAAAACAATTTTACATAGGTCAACATATGTAACATATTTATATGACATTATACAACATAAAAGATCGCTTTGTAATACAATGCTTTTATTTATAGTACTTTGTAGAGAGTACGCATTGTTTAATTAATTTAAATATTATAAAATAATTGAACAATATGTAGAATTGTAACTACATCAAATAAAATTTAATTTATTTTCTATTATAAATTTTAATAGAATATTAAAGAATAATAGAATATTTTTAAATATAAATTTGTGTTGGAAATTTTTATGTAGATTCATGTACAGATACGAGATAACAATTACAAGGTGTGCTACGAACTAAAATTAGTGTCGTATTTAGGATCAGTCGGATTGTCACCGACGAATCTTCTTCCACCTACATCCATCAATGCTAGAAATCAACCGTCTAGTAATACGACGTCGTCTACGCCAGTCGGCTCGACCTGGGCTAGTTCGGGATTGAATATCGATCTCGATAATATAATGGGTGGTAAAACGAAACAAAGTGGCCCAGCACCGACGATGAACCAATTGGCTAGCAATAGCCCGCAACATCAAATCAAGATAGGACGTAAGTAATTTCTTAACGGCCTGTTAGATTGATGTAACAGTCGGTTTTCCATTAAGTTCTGTATTGATAAAGTTAACGTTTTCCGATTAGACTGAGATAGCGTAGCGTTTAATGAAACGTAATTGTTTGTAAATCTCAAATTATTTCCAAATTAGCTATTATAGTCCGAATGCCGTCTCACTTAATTTGTATGCGAGAACATGCGGGGTGAGTAAGGATGAAATTGTGTATGTCTGTAGCATCAGGAATGGGATATATGTCACCGGTGCAATCTCTACCACAGAATCAGCAGCAGCAACCCAATGCAACGTTCTTTCCTGCATTCCAATAAAGGATTATTGGACGGTTCGGTCTAGAACACAGTCTCAAGGCACAATATGCAAGAATTTAAGCTTCACGCAAAAACTCGTTACCATTTATTTCGATTGATTCAATTGACGATAATAAATCTTACATTTTCCGCCTGGGCTACAATTTAAACACAGGGTTCAACATTAAACAATTATGTATATCGAAATACTTTTTATTAGCACTCAGCCCTAGGCATAACGTGTTTTAAGAGACATATATATGTGTTCAGAAAACGATTCGAAAGGATAAATTGAAGCATTTGTCGGTATTTTGTAATTTTTATTTAGATAAGAAATATTTCAATACCGCGATATAAATTCTTATCAATTGAAATTTATATATATAAAAAAAATAATATGCAGTAAAAGAAAAATGCAAATAATGTACAATAATAACAAATAATATACAAAGAAATGAATCATTTTTCTTAATTATTACGAGGCAGCTAGTAGCGGTATATGTCTAAGCCAATAACTCAGAGGCGACGACAAGCAGCATTCCTGTAACTCATAAAATGCATGTAATTTCTGTAATATGCGTCATACTACTTGTGTATTATGCGGGAACAAATCTGGCAGGAATTATTGCTGTGTGTATTTTATACATAAATGTATATTAAACTTGGAAGAATTGGGATTATGCCTTATATAGATAAAAAAATGTATCATAAAAATATATACATACTGTGAAAAACTCGAAAGAGCATAATCTAATTAGTCGCGTTTACTTGTTCATCACATGTGTACATTGTCTGGAACATGGACACAATGGGTGAAAGTTGATGCTTTTATAATTAATAGACTATACGAAGGATAACGATTGCGGTAGTCATAAAAACGTGTATGTAAAACGATGGCAGCATAGGAGTTTTGTGAGGAGAAAATGAATCACTAGTGGATATTAATATGTGCTTCCCTCTTACGATTATTATGACAGGAGAAATTACGATTATTGATTTCCTTTCGTAGAAAAAAAATGTAGATAGGAAGATGTATTTTTAGCATTTCGTTTATCATGAATTGAAATGTGAATTGAATCTATGCACAAAATCGTGCGGCGTGAGAAAACTTTTGTGCTCGATTCAATTACATACGCGATTATGATCCAATGTAAATTATCTAAGGATTCATTAATTGCGTAATTTTAACACGAATTAAAAAAAAATTATAATCTTTATTATTACGTGATATTATACAATTATCGTAAACATTGAACGACGAAAAAATCATTAGCGCATATGATTATATCTTACTAACAATGAAATAATGCATATCCTTCTACATAAATGTTTATGGAATTATCATCACGTCGTAATTAATTCTAAGTAGTAATTAATATACCATTATTGTGTTATACATATAATCATATTCACATCACACATTGTTGTTTTTAATTTAGTTTATCTTTGCTGCATGATATTGAGATATTTTAAGTTACTCGTCGCAGAAATTTTAATTTTTATTATGATAAAAATTTATATTATTGAAATTATCGTGTATGCGTTGTATGTATATATGTTGACAAAAAAAAGAAGAAAAAAAAGATGCTTGGCATTTATCTATCAATTTTTAACAGCAATACGCAGGAAAAAAAATTTACAAGCTGAAATTACTTGAAGCTCGGTGGCAAAGCTAGACGTTACACACATGTTATAAGAATGGTCTTTATTATTCTATTTCTACAAAAGTATACAATGTGGTATAGTATTACGAGATTGCAGATCTCAGAAGCAATTGATATAATAGAAGCCATTCTGCAATTATATGTATAGAAAAGAGTATTATGTCGAATAGTTATCCATTTGTTCAGTTTTGCCCTGTAAAGTTGACTCAAAGAGTTATCATATGCTAGAGAAGAACTTTCACGCGAGTACCAGAGACTGAATTATGTAAGAGGCAAGTGGCCCTTTTTACATTTTCCATTATTTGAGCATTTTATATGAGGCAAGATGTTTAACAACATAGGCAGGGAGATATATTTTTCAAATATGAAAATATATTGTACAAATATATAAAAAGGAGAAAGGTCGTTTTAGTCAATTCAACGCATGGAGAATCATCAGCCGATTATTAAGCGTTATTACGAGGGTGCATGTACAGTTTAATGTTATAAAACCCTTTGTAAAACTTGAAGTTAACACGTCGCAAGATCGCACCTATTAGTTTTCTCGTAGCTGGCGAATTCTGCAGTACTTTGCGTAACTTATTATTCCCCATTAAAAATTTACATCTCATTCTTGTGTTATTTACGCGCGATAATATTGTTCATGACATTTAGATTTATCGAATTGATACCCCATTACAAATTTTTCTAAATTTTTATCATGTAAAATATCACAAAAAAAATGTTTAAATGAAAATACAGATAAAAATGTTTGGCAACATTTTTAGTACATTTTGTATCAATATCTTATTATGTAATAAATATTTGGATTATATTTTGATACATATCAATATTAGTCGCGCGTATAAAAAATATATTATACACATAATCCAATGTAATATATAAAATATATGAGTTTACATGAAATTTATATTTGATCAATCAACGATTATTAATTCTCCAATGTAAATTACAGCAGGATGATACGTTGATTATAGTATTTATAGCGATTCGATATTTAAATAGCTCAGTTGATTTTTGCGACTCTGAGACTTCGCTAGAACCAATAATTTGATTGTATAATTACTGTTTAGGTATTTATATCTATACTTTACAAACTTATCGTTATTAAATGCTAATTGGTGCTGGTGTTAACACATGATATTATGTATTTCCGTTTACTTTTATTACTATAAATTACCTCTCTTCCTGTTCCTGTCAAATTGAGAAAGTGGCAAATAGGCATAACTAAATTTTTTCTGTTTGCGTGTGTAAATTTTGTCCATTTTATTTTCTTAGAATATAAATTACACAATTGGTCGTCAATCATTCATGAGTCCAGTGATTAAGTTCGATGTACACAATCCTAGTTTTATGTTTAAGATTTCCTTCAATACATAAAAAATACATGTATTTCCCCAATACAAAAAAACAATGTCATATCAAATAAAATTCCATTGATATTTTTGTTTGTATTTTCGTATCTTGTATCAATGTAGAAAGACACTGTAAATGTCTGCACTTGTAATGTATAAATTCCTAGAGGGATACAGAATGTGTCAACGCTAAATAATGGACGTAAACATAACTTTATGTTAATACAAAGAAGAAAAAGATTCCTAACTGTTAAGTAAAAATTTGTAGGAATATTTCCGAATATAAGCTTACATATAAAGAAGTATATTCCATCCTTATCTTAATGTATATGTATAGAAGGCGAATTTTTTTATTCATTATCAACCTTCGATTTTTTCTTTTTCTTCTTCTTCTGCAACGAGGTATCTACTTCGCCATTTTCAACGTGTCCATTTTCTTGCCCGTTTTCGAGCGACTGACGTTTTCTCTTTTTATCCTTCTTTTTCTTCTCCAGAGCAGCTAACATGATCTCCGTTTCTATCAGTGCCTCTTTCATTACTTCCAAATTTTTCTTCGGTTCCTTGCCAGTTGTGTAGAACTCTAATCTGTCCTCTACTTGCTGCCGTAATTTTTCACCAAATATCTTCGTCGGTATTTCCGTGAAACAATCAATTCTGGAAGCAATGGAACATTTATTCGCCAGGTACCTCGCAATTCTACCCTTATTTGCAGTGCCGGCGCGACCGATAAACGTAGAGTGGAACAAGAGCCCGTATTTCGGAGTATTCGACCTTCCACGACTTTTCAACGCTCTGAACAGGGCCTTCTCCGCTCCCAATATTTGAACGGTGGACGCCGGTGCCTTCGCTAAGTTAGTAAGCGATCCCGCGTGTGCTATTAATCTAGCGCCGACTTGATCTCCGATTAAAGTAGCTAAATTCGGTGCTATTCCTGCCATTTTCGACGTTAAATATTCGGCCATCTTTTTCCTGTACCCCACCAATGCGACAACACGTCCAGCAAAGATCTCAACGTTCATTAAATCAACTGGACTTATGTCCATCCCCATGGACGACTTGGCCGCGTTGACGATAGCATGAGCTCTTGCACTGTCCATAACGATTTCTTCTAACTCCGCCACCTTCTCATCCGTCAGTTCTTTCCGGTTTTTTATTACTTGCGCCACTCTCGCGTACGTATAATTCTCCGGAACTATCTTTGAAAGTTCTGGGTAGTGATAACTGTACCATTCTCTGAAATCAAAATGTAAAACCAAATTTATTTCCGATTGTCTACTAATCTATTATGTATTTCTGATATATTCAAAAAATATACTGTACGTACCGCATACGCATACTGAACGTGTTAATATCCTTGTCCAATTGATCTAGCAAAGCTATACTCTGGATGATCATGTTGTCCACTCGGTTCACGTTGAATTTAACTTTTGCTCTCGAGTAACTGTGTCCAAGACCTAGTTGCGCAATCACCGAGGTCTGAGCGGTGAAGCCTTTCACCAGATTATGAAAATGCAATCTTATTCCTCTCATGACTTCAGGAACGGCATTGACATAATCGCACTTTATGCCCAGAGTTTCGGTGATATTGGCACCGAGTTTGGGATCCGCAACGCCGAGAACAAAATCCTCTTTGGCAAACCCACCGAAGGAGGAATCTAGGAAGAGCTTTAGGTCCTCTGTAACGATTCCTTCGGAGACACTGTTGATATTTTCCAGAGCGGACAACGCCGTCTTGAAGGGTGAAAACCCATGGTAGGTGACAATCTTGCGGAAACGCGACAGATCTTTCACGGATTCTTCCACCTGAGGTAACTGCATTCCAATCTCCTCGAACTCTTTGACTTTGAATACCGCGTATCCAGCGGCATGTTCAAATAAAATGAAGAGCTGCGACTGTAAAAGAAGCAATTATAATTAGCGTTACGATATAACGGTAATATTCTAATATGAAAAAAATATTGCATTTTGTTATTTTGTTTATTTTTCACAATAAATGCCTTTTACTATTATCGTTATTTCCGTTATTGTATTGTTATTATTATTATTTCATTCTTAGAATAAATAAATATTGTACACAAAGCAACCTGTCCTGATTTGGAGGTTAACCTCAAAATTCGTATAATAATATACAATCTTTCGTGAAATAACTATATTTAAAACGTGCAAACGGAGCCTACATTGCGATTTGAAAAATATTTATCTCAAACTCGGATCTAAAAACATTATTAACGCATAAAATTGTACAAATTGCGACGCTTGCATATCGATTGCGTATCCGGTCGGCAGGAAAAAATTACAAATTACATCTTGGAATAAGTCACTGTTGCGACACAATTTGGAAATCTTGCACTTACCATTTTTTAAAAATTATATAATTTTTATTTGGCCTACGCTGGGTCGGAAAGAACACTCAACACTCAACGCGCGTGAAACCACGCGAACGCAGGACCATGTGTGTTGCAGACTGCAAGATATTAATAACGGAAGTGAGGTAGTAGGTAGTAGGTAGTGGTAGATGGATGCGACAGCATTTCCTGTGATTCGAGACACGTCTTTTATACCAGGGTACGGTAAGGAAGTTTAAACTTGAAAACAAAAAGAAATATACTATATTTAGCTTGGACACAATTTTTAAGATGTTAGAAAAAATTAATAATTGTTTTATAAAAGATTTTGATTTACCTGCAAAAGAAAATAAACATAAATACAGAAATATTATATTATTTACGCTGATATTATTATTTATGCTTCTCATATAAGCTTTTAAACGACAAAAAGCAATATATATTGTTTAGCTCACACTTGCATACACAATGGCTGCGTTCGGTGAAGCGTGCTATTATTGCATCGTTCTATCTTTATCGTTCGTCAAGTGTAGAACAAGGATAGAGCAAATAGCGCGCTCTCGCGAACGCAGTATTTGTGCATGCAAATGTGAGCTAAACAATAAAAACTCATATAAGGAGCGTAAATAATAATATCAGCGTAAATAATATTATATAATATTTCTGTATTAATATCATGCACATTTTTAATGTCATGGTCCTCCTCATCCGCTCAATCCTACCAGAGAGAAGAATCTCTAGTCCTACTATTTACTCGATGTGTTGCGCACGTAGATTATACAATATTGTATATGAGACCTATAATTTATAACGCCGATTCCGAACGGCTATATTTTTTTTAAAGAAGTGTTGAATGGCAAGAATACTTTCGGTGGTTTATTGCCATTGCCTTCCGAGAGGAGAACGAGCAAATATAATTTTTCTAGCTCTACCGAATCGAACCCGGGACCTTTTTGGCTCAATAGACCAGTGCGCTGTCTACTAGGCCACGCTCGATCGTTCTCAGATATAGTTTTAGTAAATAAATTAAAATTGAAATGTATATCTAATATCTAATCTAATTTAAAACTACTTTTTATTTTTGTAAGATTGTTCGCAAAAATAGTTTTAAAAAATATTAATATCAATCAATCATTCAATTTATAATAATTTACATTGTTTACATTGTCTACATGAAAAAGGTTTGTAAGCATAAATGTAAATACCATGCAGATTCAATCTTAAAATTTACAGCACAATATAATCCTAGCTGTTTTCCATTTCCATGCACGCGTCTATAATGTCCATTTCTACCAATGTCGATTAACTTTCTAATTCTTAATTATAACTAGAAAAAGATAAAAAGTATAAAGTTATACCGAGATTAATTAAAATCTGTATTGATAAAACTGGACATAAAAGGGTTGAATTTTTTAAATTTCAATCTTCATTCACACAGCATGCGTCAAAAGGAGCATGCGTTTAATTGGCGGAACGAGCATTGGTCTTATATATTTAGAAGTCTTTGGTTTCAACGCGTGCATGGAAACTGGATTATAAGATATGGAGGATATATCTCGGATCAGTTCGATCCCCTGTAATGCCTTATGTCCAGTTGTCCACGATATTTATAGAAATCCGAGATCTCGGACGGAGAAAAAATTGACCAATCATATTTAAACAATTCGGCAATTGACCAATGCGATTGGTTAATACTTACTCCGTCCGAGATCTCGGAGCGATTTCTAACGTCGTAGACACAAAAGGCTTTTTATTCCATGATTTGCGCTAAATTTAATTACGCGTCCGAACGTCAATTCATAATTACATGGACATCGCGGAGTTTATATAATTGTCTCGTTTTTACGAGATTCGCCACTTTAATGCGTCATCCATTTCTATCAACGTAGATTAATTAACTTTATAATCTCAGTTTAGCTTATCTTTATTTTATCTTTTTTAGTTCTAAGAATTAGAAAGAGTTAAAAAAGTAACCGAGATTAAAGTTAATCTACATATATTTGTAGAAATCAGAACTATAAACGTTTGCTCGATCGCCGCTCTTTCCCAACGAATAACATTTCGCGTTCGTACATACGTCTCATTGCGTAATAGATTGTAAATTATCTAGTTGCGCTCGTTTATTTTCCCGTTGATAAAAACACGCTCGCCTTCCCGCGGATCGGATTGGCCCGAGCTTCCAGATGATCGAATCGAATTTATCGAACGTAAAAAGGCGCGATTGCGTTTCATGTCCATTTCTACCTACGCGAATCAATTTTAATCTCAATTTAACTTACTCTTTATCCTTCTTCTAATTTCTAAGAACTAAAAAGGAATAAAAAGTAAGTTAAATCGAGATTAAAGTTAATCCGCAACGGCAGAAATGCTGACCATCGGGTAGGCGCGCGCCAGCATCCGCCCCTGCCCGGCCGCGCGCGCCGATCCGCGGCATCCGCGCGCGCGAAACGTCAAGTTGGCAACGGCGGTCAGCGTACTATTCCATACCATTCGCCGTTGGCTTCCGGCCGTGTGTGTGCGATACGGCTGTGGCCAGGTGCGCGGGGACGAGTCGTTTTTACCGCGTCGAGAGAAACCTTGTGCCGTGCGCGTCGAACGGCGGTGTCGGACGTCGGACGCCGTCGGACGGGAATCGTCGCGTTATCCTGGTTATGAGATTGCCGCGGCGCGGGAGACACGCCGCGCGGTTACGTTAAACGCGGTAACCGGAACGCCGATCGGCGGCGTCGACGGGCATAGCCTCTCGCGGCCCGACGTCGGGATCCCGGTGCTGCTGGCGCGAACACCACCGCGCGCACACGGTCCGTCCGTCGTCCCGTGCCACTTGGCGTGCGTCGCGCGCGTGAGAGAGCGCGACAGCGAAAGAGGACGGGAGAGAAAGAGAGAGAGGGAGAGAGCGTTGTCCGTGCGTCCGCGGCGCGTCGAGAAGGCTGAGGGCTGAGGAAGAGGACAAGGAGGATAAGGAGGACGAGAAGAGGGAAGAATAAAGAGAATCGTCGCGATCGCGGCCGACGGTCGCGATGCCGCTTCTACGCAAACAGCCGTTCCAGCGGCTTCACGTCTCCTCGGACTTCAGGGACGACGACGAGGTCTACCACTGCGAGGTTACGAACGAGATATTCAAGAACTACAAGTGAGTGCTCCGCGGGACGTGGGAGGACGCAACGGCCGGGCTTCGGGGCCCGATTGATCCCGTCGCCCGAGATTGTCGACGACGTTTCGCGTCGCCGTATACGCGGGAGAGCGGATACATCATTAAAGCGCGATCGATTGTTTATCCGCGGGGGACCGCGGACGCGGGCTTGCGTTACCGCGCGAATAATGCGCCAATTGTCGGTCCCGACTACCGCATTGCATAAAAACTGGTGTAATCTTGTCATAAGATTGTAGACCGAAGCCCGTCTTGGCTTGTTCCGGCCTGGCTCAGAAATTTGTTCCGAAAAGTTTGTTCACGTCCACGTGAATGAAGGCGACTTTGATCGAATCCGGATTAACTTGAGCAGCGATTAATTCGACCAGCAGAATTGCTCGCAGCAAAACGACTGTAGGCGATTCGTCCCCGATCTAATTTTTACTTCAGACAATAAAGAAGATTAATAAAATTACGAGTTTAATGTCCATTTCTGTCAATATATATTAACTGTAATTTCGATTTAACTTACTTTTTTATCTTAGAACTGGAAAAAGATAAAAAAGTAAGTCAAACCGAGAATAAAGTTAAATCATTGGTAGAGATGGACATTAGTCGCTGATTAAGCTAATCAGTTTGATCAAAGTCTTCCTAAGGCCAATTTTACTCGAAAATCGTATATTCTATTTCACGCTAAATTCCTTTTCCCTTTTTTTTTTCCTTTTTTTGAAAACGTACGGTAATGTATGTTGAAATACAGTTAAAAAAAACGTGAATGGACTGATTGTAAACAAACTCGGGAAAGCTTTATCAATTTATCATTTATCATGCACTTATGCTGCATTATGTTGACGAATTCATTAATGAATTTTTTCGGTGTCTTAATAATTTGAGAGCGTCATTCGATACAACAACACAGTGTCGTTTTACCATGAATGACATTTTTTTAAATTGTAGGTATTTTTTTATTCGGATAAGATTCTACTCAATAGGAACATTCTGACTGATACTTATTAAGAATTTGCATTTACATCATTTAGATTAACGACCATCATACAATATATTGAATAGATAATGAATAAAGATGAATTTTTATTGTTTCTTGTTGGAAAATACCTGTTATGTCGGTTTAAGTAAAAATTTATAGTCAGATATGTATCTCTTACATTGTTAATTTACAAATTGAATGGATTTTACTGTTATTAGTTGTTACACTGTCAAATGTGCTTAACATTTATTAATCTAGTTTCTATATTATTGTTTTAATAAGCTTTTTATAGATATGTATGAACACAATTTGAAGTTTTGTTAAATGTACATACGAATGAACATAATTATAATATTCTATGGTCATACACATACATATATATAAGCTTTTAACTTTATTTTTAATTTTTAAGTATATTTAATAATCAAATGTTATTCGTGTTTTTTAAAGCTTTTATATATTTTGAAGATTTAATAAGTTAAATTAATTTAAAATAAATATACGTATATAAAAATTATTCTATATAAGTTATATTGTAATAAACTTTATGTATTTTCTGTTACAGTGAATTTTGCGAGCGGATAATCTTGTGCAACTCCCTTATATGGTCATGTAGTATCACAGGTAAAACTAATATGACATTCGAGGAAGCTTTGCAATGCGAAGAAAATGCGAAGAGGAGCTTGAAAGAATTCCCAATGGAGGTATAATTAAATTTTTATGTAATCTATGTGTTGAATCATCATTAATAATATGTATATTATTCCATATGTAAAATTCTATATTTTTTTTAGCTGCGAATCCCTATACTTTATCTGGCTAGTAAAACAAATAGATCTTCTTTCAACGAGATGATCGAAGACGTTTACCAATTTGCGAGAGATCGCTATTTTGTAGGAGAAATGGTAGAAGCTAGCTTTACCGACGACGCTTGGTGTAACTGTCATGTTCTTCAAGTCATCGTACCTACGGAACAGCAAATTAAGGCATATATGAATGAAAATGGCAGGTAAATGAATTAATTGAGTTTTAAACGATTTTATTAATTTTTTTTTTTAATTTTATTGAGTTTATTCTATTCTGCGTCGCTGTTTCAGAAGTCTACAGGAACATTATTATCATCCACCAGCGAAGTTATTTCGTTACGAGGTAGAACAATTAGATTCTGGAGATTCTGACGTCAGTCAGATTATGATAGTGGAAGCGTCTCAGGTCAGAAGACGAAAGCAGCATTACAGCAGAGATCGTAACAAGATATTTCTTCGTCAACTCTGTGAACAAAATGATAGCGGTATATGGGTTGTCAAGGTTAATACAGAATTGTTGATACAAAATTATGAATGTCTGAAGATATTTTTGCGCTTTTGTAATATTACTTTTTGTTTCATTATTGTATAGGAAAGTGTTTTGGAAAAATATGGGATTAACAAAGTACGTTTTGATACCATATTTGCCGGGACACTCCCAGATTTTACGGTGCGTGTAAAAAAATCGGTCAAACAAAAGCAAGAATCCATGGATAAATTTCTCACCTCAAATGTATCAAAACAAAAAACACTCGAGAAAGCGGATCCTCTGAAAAAAGTGAATGATACTGCCGTGGTGAAGAAATTCCGGAAACCAAGGTAAAAGCTATTCATTAAGGCTTTGTTAAAAGATGTCTATTTAATGTATTTTTTAATATCTCTGAAATATTTTATTAATAGAACGAATGGCAAATTCAAAGAGGAACTTAAGGCAAAAGCTTTGGAGGAGAAAGCGAAACGTAAAGAAGAAAGGGAGTTGAAAAGTGAGCGTAAAAAGGAAAAGAAACAAAAGTTAGCGGCTTTAGCTGCATATATGAAACAATGGAACAAACCGAGAGAAGATCTCGAGTGTGAAGATCTTAGTCCCATTCCCGAACCTACTGTCATTAAGTGCAACATACCGAACGAGAAGTTTGGAGATTTCGCTATGATAACGGAATTTCTTGAATTTTTTAATGAAGAATTAGAAGTGTCCGTATATTTTCCGGGAGGTTTTAATTTGGAACTAGTGGAGAAGGCATTGTTGACCAAAGAAGCGTCGGGTCCGTGGAGCGATCTTTTACAACTGTTATTGTCAAATATATTCAAGTACCAAGCTGGAGAAGACAATGAAAGTGATGCGCAAGCATCCACTTTGTTGGATGACATTAGTGCTTATGAAGGTGCATCATCAATGGCAAAAGCCATCAAGCTCGCTACATTGGCTTCTAGATGGTGCTCAACTTATCAGGGATGCAAATTATCAGAACTCACATTGGATCATGTAACTCTGAGTGAGATTTTGAGGCAACATTTACTAAGCTCCGGGGGACGTATAAGCGAAGCCGCTTCGAAATGGCGATATTCTCAAAAGGGTACGTATGATTTATTATTTAATATTAATATACTTTCTATAAAAAAAAAAAATTATTGTGATTGTAGGTGGCTATACAAATTTTGATGAACCAGCACTTCTTTTGAGGCTAAATGAAGGCTACCTTTTGCGATTATTGGGCCATCGTAATGTCTGCGAGCTTGAGTTAGACGACAAAATGAAGATTGTCACATGTCTGATCAATCAGTTGCTTGCATTTGCATCGATACGCGATGCAATTGAGGAGCGATACGATAAATTGCATCAAGCGAAAAAAGAATTGAAATTGTTCTTGCTTGCCGAACAGAGAAAGGAGAAGGAGGAGAGAGAAAAGATGCGAGAACGCGAGAAAGAGGGAAAGCTCGAGGAAGAAGAGCCGAAACCGAAAAAGATCACGCGTGGTAATTACGAAGAAGGAAAGAAAAGAGAAGAATATGAAAATAAACTAAAGGAACTACAACAAGCGTCAAGGGATGACAAAATGATGATTTATTTAGGTGCAGATAGAGCGCATCGAAGATATTGGAGATTTATATCTATACCAGGTACGTTTCTATGTTTTTGTTTTATAAAATTTTTAATATGAAATGTTTAATATCCAAAATTGAGAATAAAAGACTCAATGTTTTATATATATATTTTTTAATTGATTCTGGTTGCAATTAAGATACATATCACTTTGGATTTAAAATTTTCACATCACGAATTTAAAAACAAAGTTAACTAGCTTGTACTTTTTTTTTCTTTTTTTTTTTTTTTAACATAACTTGTTTACTTCAATATCTTTTCAAGAAAAATATTGTTAATGAGATATGTTAATCAATATCTTTGTTTTTTTTTATGAAACTTGATTCACAATTTTATTAAAATTAAAATGGTCACATTGCGCTTTATTTGATTATACTTTTATAATTATTATTACTTTGAAAAAGTAATTAAAAAAGGAATTAAATTTTATAACATTCAATTCTTTTATTTTCAGCGTGTAACTTTCCAATATTATAACTTACAGAATTTCTGACAAAAGTTTATAACACCTCTTAATTAAGTTATTACTTTAATTAATTTTTCTTAATCTTTATTGTAGGATTATTTGTCGAAAATGACGAACTTTGGCCTGGAAATTGTCTTCCCGAGGGTACGCCGCACCATCCCGAGTTGCAAGACAAGGAGGCAACCTACGCATATCTAAAAAATAAATTTGAGGATGAGTTCAGTGACAAAGAAAATAGTTTCAAAAAATCGAAGAAATCACCCAAGAAGCTTCTATCCTTGGATAAAAATGGTGTCAAATCGCCACGGAAAGAATCAAGCCCACGGAAAGAATTTAAACAAGATCTCACCAACATCAAAAGAAGTTTAGTTCTGTGTACAGGAGACAAAGATTGTCCTGTTCATTGCAAGAGATCACTGATAAAGTGGAGCTTTTACGGAAATCAAGAAGACATTCAAGCGTTAATAGATAGTTTAAGTACAAGGGGTGTCAGGGAGAGCGAGCTTAGAAATAATCTTTTACAAGAGATGGACAATTTGCTCCTCGTTATCGATGAATGTCCTAAACACAGATTAAATCCTGAAGTTGTAAGTATATTTTTATATAGTTTATTAAAGTATACTACCTCTACACCTATAGTTATACGTAGTTAAAGGACGAAAAGTAAATGGATATTCGTACGTAGTTTTCAGACTCGAGTAAAGGGCAAATTAATAAGGCGGTTAAGAAAAATAAATATGAAAATGCAAACTTGAATTTTCCTCCTGATATGTCGATCGACGATGTGATGGAATTGACTTTGAGAGATCACATTTTGGATTTCGAAGACAAGATCAACTCGGGTTGCCTAGGATCCCTTAAGATTATCAATCGTGCCATCTGGAGGAACGCGATTAACCAGAGAAGTTACGACAAACAATGTGACAAGTTGATGTGTGCCGGTAGTGAGGTAGACATAGATACACCGCCTAATGCTTTGATAGACAAAATAAAGAACGAGTCTAAACACAGCAGACCCGGTACTCCCGACTCTGAGGTTGGGAGCATTAGCATAAAGACTTACAAGGACCCAGGAATATACCTAGGTTTACCCGGTGATGATGAAATGGTGGCCGATCAAAGGCAACAGGCAGCTGTCAAACAGCTGGCTTGTGCTATTTTACAGTTGTCCCACGCTATAGAACAAAGGTACTTACAAAGACCACTGGGGCCCGATCAAAAGGACAAAAAATGGTCGGGCGAGGAAGCACGAGAGAGATGGGAACAATCGTTAATAGCGTCTACGAACTGGTCTCAGTTGTTCGTTCACTTAAGTACCTTGCATAATAGTGTCGCGTGGGACAGAAGCGGGTTAAACGCTCAGTGTCGTATATGCCGAAGGCGTAGGGATGCGGAGAACATGTTGCTTTGCGACGGATGCAACAGGGGACACCATCTCTATTGTCTGAAACCGAAACTTAATGTAATTAATAGTTCATTATACTGACGTTTCCGTAATAGAGCGATCGACTGAATTATCATTTCCTCGTATATTTTCTATATGTAGGCTGTACCACCGGGAGACTGGTTTTGTACAGCATGCAGACCACCGGAGATAAAACCCAAAGAAAAAGCTAAAAAGCGGAAAAGATTCGAGGATGAGCTCGAGGAAGAGACAGTATTGACCAAAGAGACGCGACACAATCGCGCGAGGCGCGCACCGCAAAGCGACGACGAGGGCGACCAAGAAGACGATCAAGACGACGAGGACAGCGATGAAGATATGTAAGCTTATGTCTCCATAGCATTAAAATCTGTTATCTTAATTATTATTGTTAATGTTTTTAATTTTTTTTTTTTTTACTGTGTTAGAAACATACGACTAGAGAACTTATGCGTGTCGTGTAAAAGCGGTGGGAAGGTGATTGCTTGTGACACATGTTCGAATCGTTATCACTTGGAATGCGTAGAACCGCCATTGTCGAGAGCTCCTAGAGGAAGATGGTCTTGCACTAAATGCAAAGCTAAAAGAAGGAACGCAACGAAAGGTAATGGGGAAATAATACGAAGAAATATACGGAGGAGTTTACGGGCGAAAATGTCTCAAGGGCGTTTTTCTTTTGTTATAATTTGAGAAGAAAAAAATTTCCCGCATTTAATGTAGATCAAAAGTAGAGACGTAGACAAATTGTTATAAGGATATTATAAAGAAGTTTCTTAGCGTTAAAATTATGTTGATAGTGAGGGGGCGCGAGAGGGAAAGAGACAAGGAGAGGCTGTGCGCAGCAGCAGCACGCTCTCGCATCCATGGCTTTGCCAAGAGCCTCCTCACTACAGAATCTACAGACTGGGACGGTCTGTATTGTATCCCTTTTTTTTACTGTGTATATATATGTGCGTAGCATCACCATGGCCAATCTCTTTTTATTTTTTTTATTTTTGGAAAGCACCGCACGTTAGAAGACCCGTACGGTTCATCATCGGGGGTCTGTTCATTATTAATATCTGAATAATTCTTATAATTTTTATTTTGGGGATAGCGTACTAACCGAATGAATTATTTACTATAAATCTGTCGACTTCTGCTTCTTGTTTTCAATTATTTTATTAAACGTTTCTGTATTATCACTTATTTTTTCGGAAAGATGATATTTCTCTTTCATTAGTATGTATCTGGACAAGGAAAATTTGTATAAATTAATATAATAAATAATTACTATGTACTATAATTAATATAGATCTGGACTAATTGTATAATATCAACTTTTTTTTTATTTTGAAATGTAGAAGTAGTCTTCTTATACAATAATTTTCATAGTGTATATAAAATCGAATAATTGAAATAAAATATGGCACGATACATGGCACACGCACACATACGCATATAATTCTTGTTTTGACCTCCGAGTAAAATGGGACTTATTATGGACAGACCCTAATATAGCATTACATCCCTGTCATGTAAATGCTTGGATACATCTTATCATCTTGGCAATGAAATTCGTAGGCTATTGCTAACCCATGTGCATATCACATGAATATCACATCGATAGAACTTTAGTTTTTAGCATGGACTTCACTTCATAAGTAATTCCAAATTGAACCGACAAAATGTGATGTGCTAATTTGAAAATTTTTGATGTACAGATAGCAGTGCATCGGATGACACTGAACCGAGACAAACGCGGCGTGCGACGAAAAGAGCCGCCGAAATTGAACACGGAGACAAGAATTCGATTAGGGGATCTATGGCTAAATTGCAAGAATTGTTGACCGATATCAAGCATCACAGAGATTCGTGGCCGTTTCTGTCACCCGTTACGAAGGATGAAGTTCCGGATTATCACGATATCATCTCCAATCCGATGGACTTTGGAACTATCAAGTTCAAACTTAATAACGGCGACTACGAGACAGTAGATAAATTCTTTAGCGATTGCCAATTGGTCTTTGAAAACTGTGGATTGTACAACAAGGAACATAGTTCCGTATACAAGTAAGTAATCAACATTATTTTTATCTCTATTTCACACAAGTTCGGATGCCAGAGATTAAGATTCATGTTGCATAGATAAATCTATTAATGTTAATTAATATATAGTATTAATTTATATATTTCATCCATATATTATTAACAATAATTTATTAATTATACACACACATTGATTTTAATTAACACATCATGTAATTATTATTAATAACACTGATAAATTAATATCTTTATCATTTTTGTATTTGTATACTAATTTAACTCAGTGTATAGATAAATTGTTGGGTGTGATTTGGATTAGGTCGGTAGAATATCACAAATCTAACAAAATGTAACAAATACAAACGCTATAATACTTGGTAAGATAATATTATCATTACACGAAAGGATAATATACATGTTGTAAATAATTAAATGTGATTAACTATTTTATAATTGCTTAACGGAAGGATTCGATTTTTCTTACATCTTTTTACAAAATTTGCGAACGTGTTAATTCGTTTGTAACTTTAATAGACTTTGTTGTTGTTGATGTAAATAATCTTTGGCCTCCGAACCAGCTTAAAAATGTGAGTGTATGAAGCGAGGCTATGTCTGGTTAAAAATAGTTACGTGTATAGTGCAGGTATGCGATTACGCAAGTACTTCGAGAAACGCTGCAAAGAATTGGACTTGAATTTCGATGAAGCACTTTTCCAAGAAGAACCCAAAATTAAGAGGCCGAGATTGGTTAGCGATGACGACGAGGAAGACGGTGCGTCAGGAAGCGAAGACGACGAAAGTGAAGCGCAGAAAAGAAGATAGAATGAAAAAGATTAGATCTATACATATATAAATATATATATTTCATTACGATGTATACTCATGAAATTTAAATCTAGAGCCGCTCATATTTTATATATTTTGAACTCAGCATATATGTGGACTTGTATACCGATGTTGAGCGGTCGAAAGATTCTGTATGTAGCTCAAGACATTTGTAAATTGTATACTTTGATTCTTTCGACAGAGTAATATAAAATTACATTGATGACAATTCACGGAATAGTACAATTACGAAGATTTTATTCTACAGAATCACCGATGCAAATATATGAAAAAAAAAAAAGAAAAATGTCTCTACAGTCGAATTCTTCGAGGCTTGTAATAAAGACGGTACGCAGTATTATTTGCATATACATAGCCGCACATATACTTTTAGATATAATCGCGCACTCATAGAGCATTATAAAACGACATATACCAGCCGATTGGTTTTATTCGCTTCGATCAGTACAAGAATAGCATTATTTTCTTTATAGATGTAAACAAGGAGAGATGCTCGATATATTCTCGCATCGTTCAATTATTTATTTTAACATTATTCACGTAAAGCGGCAATCTATATGTACACATTGCCGTATAATTATATTAAGAATCGTTAACTGTATACATGATAAATCGCACTATAAATTTTACTTTTCTCGAAATCGTCTGTACGCGAGCTTTAATGATGAGTACGAGCACAGCTTAAAAAAAAAAAAAAAAAAAGCATAAGTTATAAAAGCGTCATTCATAAAAAACTTATGTTTGTAGATCCAGACAATAAAATTGGATACTTTTGTACTGCGTGTTCTGTGACTTATCAAACTGAGAAGTGTTATTTCAATTGTTCTGTAACACCTATGTAAATTTACGTTTCATGTTAATAGTACTTATTTTTTTCCGTTTTAGTTTATTTTTGACATTTTTTAATTTCAGGCTAGATTTATATAAGCTATGGTACAAAATATCGATTGTATTACACAGTAAAGTGTTCTTTTTAGTCATGTATATTTTATACGATTATTTTGATAACACAAATCTTCAAATAGACTTTTTTTCAACAATCCTCCTCTGCCTCTCCATAAATTATCTCACATATGATTTAAGGATTTATTTTTTCTAATTGGACAGAGAAAAGATTACAAGTTCTCTTTCTCCAATACATAATTTGTTTTAACATACAACTCTAACGATCTTCATTTTAATGATGACCAGTACCCTCGAACATTTCCCGGTGGAGTTTGTCCCACTTCGCAACGTTCTCAGGAGCGTACGCTGAAAACAGAAGTAGCGGATGATGCATATTTCGTTAAATCGGACAGACATCGAGACGTGACGTAATACTCACATAGCTTTTGAACTTTATAAAATATCGGGAACGATACAAGTGTGCCGATCAGCAAATATCTATACAGCCAACTGTGTTTTATGTAATATCTGTATGGGAACTGAGCAACCTTTGCAGTTAAGGTATATGGGTATTTCATGGGTCGAAACGGTGCGCCTTGCGACATGTTGGTCGTCTGTAACAGATTAACTGTAATTAGATCCTTTGTGCCCAATAATGTAAATGGCAATAGTAATATAATAGATTGTGCAAGAGATGTGTTAGCGCAATTTTGCAAGCGTATCAAGTACATACACCAGGTTAGGCCTGTAACTCTTAACGACAATGTTCTTACGTTGTATTGTCGCAGCTTTTTTATTTACTTAAATTGTATTTGTGTAACGACAATGTAACGATAACGACGCTGTCATTAAGAATTACAGAATAGAACTGCAGGTGTTCAAGCGCAGATTACACTTATGTTGATAACCTATAAAAATTATGCAAAAGGATTTCCTCTCTCGTTATATATATTCAAATCACAAAAAATAGAGGTCATACACGATTCACATTGTTAGTGCAAACAGAATAAGTTTGGAATAGTGATTTCAATCGACCGATCATAAATCCTTGAAGAAAGAAAATGACAGGCGAACAGACGTGTGACGATTTAACCTCGCTTATCGCTAGCGATTGTTAGATAAATTACAAAAGGAAACGATTATATCGTGCGCTCGCTTTTTTAACTTCATGTTTAACAGTTTTTAATTACTCACTTTTGGATTTATAATATATTACGATAACAACTGCGTGGAATTATGTAATGTATCTATCCTTCTCCGAATCGTAGGCGAAGGATGCGGCCAGCGGCACGAGTAAAGAAATAGAGGGGCACGAGGGGCATACCTAATAAGAAGGCCTGATTGGCTACGCTACTTCACGCTACTTCTTCGTGGCGGCACTTCGTATTCCCGCCCACATTTGCAATTTGTTGGGCTACCACAGGCTACCATACGGTTATTTATTTTCATTGCTTCTCACATCCACAATTAATTATTAATCGATGATGCAAAAAATTAATTTCTTTATAAAACTTAAAAAATTTTGTATAATTTCAAATTTTTCGTATGACGTAGTCTTATTGAGATGAAAAAAAGCGGAGTCGAACTCTGCGACGACTGCGCCTTGTGGAACAAAAACCACTTCTAAACTGTGAAATATCCAACTTTATTTGATAAATACAATTGTTTGTAACCTAATACATCGCCAATTGAGAGCACAATCAGTTTCCTCCTTTCTTTTTCTTCCTAATATCAGATTCTTTTTTTGTTTTCATAACAACAGCGCGATTTCTCGCGAAATTTTGTACAGTCGAATTTTTATATTTATTTATCAGGTCTGAGTTAGCATGTCTATTCTTAATTTTCCTTTTAGTCCCCATTTCGATTGGTCTGGCCAGACAATCTAATTCAGTCTTGACATAATACAAGAGCTCGACTGTAACAATGTGTAACAAAGCTTGAATAAAATCTACGAATGTTACGGATAGAACGCTTGTAGGTTTATTATTGCTTGTTAACACTCCTCATTTCATCAAAGCGTGTACCACTGCTTTGGCATTCAATGATTTTAGATCGGTGTAAGTTTGGCCGGTTCCAACAAAAACAATAGGTTGACCAGTGATGTATGTCATTGTGATAGCTGCGCCGACCTGTAAATAATATTTGTGAGTAAATGCTGCGTAAAAAATTAATAGATATTACGTAGGAAAATATATTTCCTATGCATATATATATATGGTGTGTTATATTATATTTAATATATTTTTATAATAATCAATATATTAATATAAATATAATAATATTTATGTTCTATATATAAAAATTAAATTACTTAAAACGAGATCAAACAAAATATAATTTTTGCAGCACAAATATCAATCCTACAGAATAATTCTTAATTGTATATTTTCGTATTTCAGGAATCAAGAACTTCAAGTTCTACAAAAAAAAATAAATATGTGATAAAGATTATATAGAAAGAAAAACTTACTTTATCATCGATCGTATCGAACTTCGTCAACACGATACCGTCGATAATATGAGGATTGGCAGATTGACTGTAGTCAGCTAAGGCTTGATTGAATTTCACCAGCTGATCCACAGCTTCGTTGCCGACGAGAGCTTCCCCCACGAATAATACCAAGTCCGGCTCGTTCACTTTAATCAGCTTCGCCAGAGCTCGCATCAACGGTTCATTATCCTGCATTCTACCGGCAGTGTCGACCAGGACAACATCAACCCTGGAGTCCCTCGCAAAGCGTATCGCTTCCATGGCGATACCCGCCGCATCCTTACCGTAACCCTTCTCATATAGCTGCACCATCGATTGATTCCCATGCTTCTCTGGTGGATGTAGAGCGTTCAGATGCCGCATATGCGTCCTCAATTGTTCGACAGCTCCAGCTCTGAATCATAAAATGATTGTCATTATAGGTTAAATTAATTGTAAAACTGTTATACATGAAACTTGTTAGAATTTATACTATACAGAATGAGGCATGTTATAAGTGACAAATTAATATCTTAGGAAATATTTATTTTGAAATAATTAAAATAAAAGAAATGTATGTGCGTATAGAAAAATAAGAGAAATGCTATAAAATAAGAGAAATTGTATTTCAGAGACACATTTATAAGATATAATAAGATATTACTATTAAATAATAGCAATTTAATTTAAAAAATAATAATAGATCTTTAAAAAATTGGTGGGCAAAATCAGCATGCTTTGTTAATTTTGTCAATATTCATTTACCTGAATGTATCGCATGCAGCTATCAACACGCGGAAATTATTTTCTATTAACCAGAAACAGATTTTGGCCAAATTCGTTGACTTGCCGACCCCGTTGACGCCACAGAAAGTCATCACGTAAGGCCTGTTACTCTTCTTCGCTTCTAAAGCGTCTCGCAGAATATCGATTCTTCTCTTGGGCGACAGTATTTGTACTAGAGCGTCCGTTAGGGTGGTTTTAACGGTGTTTGCTACGCTGTCGAAGGTGCCAAGTACTTTTCCTTCCAGCTTCGTACCAACAGAATCGCATAACTTTTGCGCGATGTCCGCGGCAACATTCTTGGTGATTAAATGATCCTTTAGTTTCTCCAAAACCGGTAACATATCATCCTGCTTTAGAGATTTGCTGCCGACCAGACTCTTGAACATGGAGAACATACTCGTTTTTTTCTGCATCTGCTGCTGCTTGGATTGCTCTATCTCTTCCTGATCGGAACTATCTTCAGAATCGCTGTTCACTTCGAGATCGCGTATACTACCTTTCATCTGTCCAACTAGCTACAGGGAAAGCAACGGAAGATATAAATGAACAATATAAATAATGAAAATATATATGACAAATCTCAATTTCTTCGGCTGACAATCAGTTCATTCAATATATTTTATTTCTTTCACACTTCTCTTCGTCCATTTTATTTCAAATTATTTTCTTCGATCCGCCATTGTAAGAATTAACTCATTCTATATTCACTAACAATTATATACAATTTTTTTATACACGCTTTTCCAAAAATAAAAAAAATGAAACGATAGAACCTGATTATCAATTTGAAAATATTAAATCGATCAAAGAAATTCATAAGATTCTCAGTCTAATCAAATAGAAAGTAGGAAATAAACTTGATATTAAAAGAATGCAAAAGAAAAAATATTACAGCTGTATTGGCTGCCACATAATCGTCATTCTCTTCGGGCTTGTCTTTAGTTCGCTCTAATGTAGCAAGATCCTTGGTTGTGCCACCCAATTCCCAGATGCGCGGTTTCTTGCCAGCTTTCTCAGGTTTAGGACTTTTCCTGGTACGATATTTGTTTTTATTACGTTATTAATTTTTATAAATTTGTTATTTTATATATATTACAATTAAAAATTCTTTTTTATAAAAATAAAATTAAAAGAAATTAAAAAAAGAATATATGCTTACTGCTTGTCAGCTTTCTTCTTTCCCGCCATTTTCTGAACGAGCTTCATACGATTGGTAATCAATGTTTCTTCATCGAGTTCCCCATTATGTTCCACTTGCTGTTTCGGCAACTCCTGTTTTGGAATATCTTGAATTTTTGCTGCAGCATTAAAATACATTTAATTTAATACAAAGCCTTAAGTAAAGAAAAAAAAATTCCAAATAAAATTTTAACAAACTAAAGTTATATTTGTTAATTTTATTATTTTATTCATGCAATATTATACAATAGCACACCAGCATGCAAGGATTTCGCAAATGCTACTTACTATGATAATCCCCATTACAGTTATTTGCTTTCTTCTTTTTACCTAGAAGCGAAGAAGAAAATCACCGCTGTTTTAGCATCATCCAAATTGAGAAGGAAAAAATTACCGAATAAAAATAGCTTGTAAGTCCAAATGCTACATCAGTTTCCTTACTGTTTCGTACCGCGAAAATAAAATAAGCGTGATATTCCTATATTTCTACTATACTATATTTCTTCTTTCCCTGAGAACATTGTTATTGCATAAATCTTATTTTTGTAAATTCTACGTTTGTATGTGTGTAAACTTTCCCTTATACAGCAAACCTGAATATTATGTTTACAAATGACTACAAATAAGATTTACCCTTCTTTTACTTTTTTCTTTTAAATTTAGATTTTAAAATTCAAGCTCATTTTTCTCAAAATTAAATAAAGCTATATACACTGTTAACGCATTACGAAGTAATTATACTGTTAGTTATGATTATACCTGGCTTTTTATCATCTTTATCGTCCTTTCTCTCGATCATACTAGCGACAGTCTTCTTGGATTTCTGACTCTCGTCAAAAGTGCGCATTTGCTTCGGTATCTTAGCCTGTGAGCGCGACCAGTGTTCAGCTCGTTCGAGCACCGAACGATAGGCTGGTTCAAATTCAAAATTGGCGAACCAGCTTGAATTCTCGAGCTCGTTCTTGAAGCGATCCCTAAACTCCAAATGGATATCATTCAGAAATTTATCCACGTAGGATAACTGCAGTATCTTCTGATACGCCACCACAAATACCAGCTCGAACTCGTTGTCGAGTTTATACTGTAGTCGCAGGGAGTCATGATCAAAGCTGTGATTCCCTGTACGTTCCTGAAAAATTAATTTTTGTAAAGAACCTCATCTTCTTAAATCTCACAGATACATAGAATTACTAATAACATATATTAAGAAGAAAAATTCATTTTACATATTTAATTCTTTAACTAAGTTCTATTTACTTTTAATATTTTATATAAAACTATATATGTATATTGACAAGAGTTTTCATTACACCAGCACCGACATTTCACTTTTTTAGATGAAGCAGAATTATTACCCAAATAAACTTTTCACAGAAAAATAAAATACAGGAAACTTGTTTCTTTTTTTATAACATCCATTCTTTTGATTTAATTTTATTTTATTTACAAAGCAAAAAAATCTTTCACAAGACAATTTGTTTTGACAACTCTAACCATATGGTGCATTTAACCTAACGACCTCGTTCTTACTATTATGTACAACTAGTTCGCAAATTCAAAGAACATCTATAGATTTTGAAACAGTTTTCAACCAAGCTTTACATATATAAAACATATATTCCTTTTTTATATTATACTACTGGACTACTCTATTTGTTGAAATGACAGATCGAGAAAAAGATAAAAATCTGAAGACATGTGACATGTGAGAACAGATACCTGCGGTATTTAAAAAATATAAATAAGATTACTGTCGAGAGGAGTCGACGATCAAGTAGATCAGAACGTGAGTTTAACGCGAGGAGATTCGAGGAGATGCGTCGTGCAATACGGGGTCAAAGGTCGTCAGACCGCCGACTTGTGCCTGTCACTCCTGTCAGACGGTCACACTCTCGCGACTCACCTGCAATATAACGCTCCTTATCAGGGCATTGACGCTGGGCGCGAAAATCTGGGACGTGCTCTGGAAGCACCAGAGCACTATGCCGCCCTTGCTGAATATCGTGAAAAGATCGAGCATGATTCTTACGATGCTTAAACGCGAGAGACAGAAATAGAGAAAGAGAGAGAGAGAAAGAGAAAACCTGCCTCTTGTACACGGTCGAACGACGACTTTCGACCTAACCAGGAGAGGCGCAAAGCGCAATGAGTGACGGCGATTTTCTTGGGACGCTTTTGCCAGGCCGTACGTACAGTAGCGCCACACATCCACCTTCAGGAATTGGAACTACGAGTCACATCCACTTTTCGATACTGTCGATGAATTTGGTTCGTGTCCGTGCTACATCCACTTTTTGAAACTGTCGGTCATTTGGTTCATGCGCAGTGCACTGCACATGGTCGATAAACAGGCACCTACTAAGACCTACTTCGCGCGAGTCGCCGTTGTCCGCCATTGCTCCACCGGCGCCACCGGCGGCAGCGGCGCCGCAGCGCGCAAGATGCGACGTGAAGAAGAAGAAGAAGAAGAAGAAGAAGAAGAAGAAGAAGAAGAAGACGAAGAAAAAGAAGAAGAAGAAGAAGAAGAAAGAGGAAGACCTATTTTGTGAAAATTTTCAGAAATCTACAAATTAATTACAATCCATACCAGATTTAATTAGATCCTACATTTTGATCATTGCAACTTTGTGAATTAGAAATCAACAATTAAAAAGGAGGAACTGCTCCAGCAAATATAACCTATAAAAATGGTGGTGTAATGTTTTAGTAATAATAAAAGGAAAATAAAAGAACATAATTTCGGTGATCACTTGACGTGTATGTAACATTTCTGAAGTCGCTTCGATTTCTTAAAAACGAGATGTTATTCACGATCGAGAGATACGTGATTCGCGCGAGTGCACGGTATTTACAACGATGTTTCTCGAACAGTGTTGACGTTTCGGCACGAGAATTCGTTCTGCAACCCAACGAGAGTCCTACGTCGATACGTGCCGGAGCCCAGAAGTCTCTAAAAATTGCCTTCCTAGGCGTACCAAACGTTGGAAAAAGCAAAATTGTTAACCAACTTATCAAGCAATCGGTAATCATCTTTAAATTAAATGCATAAATTTGTATACTTGTATAAATTAAATTATCTTGTCTACATAGGTTTAATTTATTAAGTTGTCTTATTTGTATCTCTTACCTGCACAAAAATCATAAAGAAGGAGCATTCTACAAAAGTTTATTACAAAAATTTATATTATTTATTTTTACTTTATTATTATCACATATATGGAGGAGTAAAAACCATAGTAGTGTAAGTCAAATTTTTAAAAATATTTTCTCGTGCGCATAGATGCAATTTATGTATTGTACAGATTGCATTTATCCACACGAGAAAATATTTTTAAAAATTTGACTTGCACCACTATGGTTTTTATCCCTCTATATGTACAATTCTTCATATACATATTACGTTTTTAAATAGGTATGCCCTGTGTCTTGCAAGGCGCACACCACACAAGCTAAAGCGCATGCAATATATTGTGAAGGTGATACTCAGCTGATATTCCTGGACACCCCCGGCATGGTCTCCACGAAAGAGTCTAAAAAATTCAAGTTAGCCAGTAGCTTCAAAACAGATCCAAAGACTTCCTTGCAAGCGGCAGATATTGTGGGAATTGTGCAGGACGCAGAGAATGTATATACCAGGCACAAGATTGATACAAACATATTAGAACTCTTGATGGATGATATAAGAAGCAAGATTCCTATAATTCTGGTCATTAACAAAGTAGACAGACTAAAGAAAAAGGAAATATTACTCGATTTGATACACACTCTGACCAAGAGCAAAAAATCTCCAGATTTCTATGACATATTTATGATATCCGCCTTGACTGGGGATGGCATTAACGATTTGAGGGTAAATTTATGACTATTGTAAATAATATTTATATAATTCTTGGAAATGACAATATAATTCCCATATTTGGAATATTTGTACCGTCTGTATTTCATTATTTTTTTGTGCTTTGCAGACTTATTTGTTAGACACGGCTAAGCCACGAGCCTGGGAGTACGAAGGGCATGTTTACAGCGATAATACGTGCGAGGATGTAATACGACAGACGGTGCGGGCAAAGTTCATGGATATTCTGCCGAACGAGGTTCCATATCGTTTACAGGTGAAGTTGGAACACTTTGATCCAGCACCCGACGATAGTATCAAGGCACTGGTGTCCGTCACGTGTCCAAACAAGCGAATTGCTCGTCTACTAACGCGCGGCAACAATAACAGAATAGGTCAGACCGCCGTTATAGCAGAGGAAGCACTGCGGCACGCTTTTCGAACGTCGGTGAGATTGAAGATAAGCGTGCAATCTCCATCGTGATTCGGCTTGTATTTGTTATTTGTAAAATAAAGTTGAATATCGCTTAATCTCGCATTTATAAAGTTAAATGTTTGCGATAAGATTAATTTTTTAATACAAACCGAAACCAAAAGTCAAGCGCCGATTTAAAAATATATTTCTACATTGCGTTACCTAACAACTATATAGACTCCTATTTATACTATACCGCTTGTTATTTAATTATATATTTAATTCTAATACTATGCCGTTTTTTTAGAATATATTTTGTTGGTTCAAACATATTCCAAAACTTATAACTTTCTATTCACGGAGATGTACATGAAAAAATATATTTATACATTGCATATTAAATCTTTATTTATTGGAAGAATAGTTTTTAAACAAAGTATTTCTAATTTTTGGAAAAAAATGCAATCAGTAAAAATAAAAATACATATACACTATTCTAATTTTTGAAGATAAAAAAATTTTTTACACCGTACAAAAATAGAGGTGTAGGTACTTTTAAACTTTAACATTTAAAATATAATATAAAGTAAAATATAAGTAAATGTAAGTAAAATATAACTGTATTAACATATGTTAATGTGTAGGTACATATCTCTATAACACAATCTGTTATTTTTACATATTTCTTCGTCACATTTACATGACGGATCACAGCTGTTGGAATTCTTCACGCAACCGCACATTCGTGAGGAGCAGTTCCCTTTACAGCTACAACCAGTGGCTTTCCAGGTTTGAACTGGCCTTGCCTGTGAAATAATCAGTTATTCCATCAGTCATAATAGTTATTCCATAATAAAATTTGTTCATAGGTTTAGAATTATAAGCAAATATTTTAAAAATTTAAAGAAAAGAACTATTTACAGATATGACTAAGGCTGCATTCCGATATTCACCGTC